GGTTCTGGCTGGCGGGGAGTTCTGGAGGGGGCTGGGAGGTTCGGGGGGGTTCTGGCTGGCGGGGAGTTCTGGAGGGGGCTGGGAGCTTTTGGCGCACTCACTCTGGGCCAGGCTTCCGCTCTCGGCTTGGGTCAGTTTGTGCTGCACCTCACGCTGGCAGCTGTCAGTCAGCATCCCGTCGCCGGCCTGCAGCAGCCGGGAGATCATGTGGGGGGGGCTGCGCGTTCCCCAGCGCCGTCCGGGCCTCAGCACACCCCCAGTCTCACCCCCCCCCAGCATCTCCAGCACCTTGGCAGGCAGCGAGATGGCCACGGGCTCCGAGATCTCCAGGGCAGCTGTGGGAGGCTCCGGGCCACGGGGTGAAAGCGCCCGGGTCACCTTGCAGGCGAAGGGAAGGCGGGCGGGGCTGGGGGCCGAGTCAGAGGCCTCAGAGAGCGAGGGGCGCCAGGGGGGGCTGTGCCGGAAGGGGAGCAGGTCCAAGTCCAGGAAGCCGGGGGGGCTGAGCTCTGGGTCCGAGTCCAGCTCGCCCTCATCGTCCAGCCAGAGGGAGGTGCGGCGATGGGGTGCCAGGCTCTCGCTGTAGCCGCCGGAGGCCGAGGAGCTCAGCGACTCGCAGGAGCGGCAGGGCTTGAGGGGGGCTGGCGGGGACCCGGGAAGGGCTCCAGGCAGGGCTGGGAAGGCGTCGCTGCTGGAGCGCGGGCGCCGCAGGCGGTTCAGTTTGTGCAGGCCTTGGGGACAGATGGACAACAGCAGCGTAAACAACCCTGAGACGGCAGGCAGCTGGGGAACAGCCACACATAATGCTGCATGGGAACAGCTCACTTGGCACTGAGATGCAGCCATCTCTGGGGCGGGGCAGCTGGGGAACAGCCACACATAATGCCACATGGGAACAGCTCACTTGGCACTGAGATGCAGCCATCTCTGGGGCGGGGCAGCTGGGGAACAGCCACACATAATGCCGCATGGGAACAGCTCACCTGGCACTGAGATGCAGCCATCTCTGGGGCGGGGCAGCTGGGGAACAGCCACACACAACACCATACAGGGACTGCTCACCCAGCACTGGGACACAGTCACCTCTGGGGTGGGGCAGCTGGGGAACAGCTGTACATAACGCTGCATGGGGACAGCTCGCCCGGCACCGAGACACAGCCACCTCTGAGGTTGGCTTCCCCCCGAACGTCCCCCTCCCCACCCCTCGTGCTGCCCCTCATACCCGCGGTGCTGGACTGAGACGTGAGTGACTCCTCACTCTTGGCGGATCGCAGCGTGACAGTGTCGGCCCGGAGCCCTGCAGGGAGAGGGGAGGGGTGAGAATATCAGCCCCCCTAGTCCTCCCGCAGCCCCCCACCCCCGTATTCATCCCCTGCCTGGACCCCACTGACATCCTCTACTCCCACCTCTCCTGCCCCCAGCACTGCCCTGTCCCCACCTCCGCTCCCGGGAACACCCCAGACAGGCCCCCCAACACTCCTTCCTTCTCCCAGAAAAAACGGTTCCCTACTTTCTCTAACTGTTGCTCCTTGAGATATGTTGCTCGTGTCCATTCCCTGCTATGTGTGCGCGCGCCCACGGGCCCGGCTGCCGGAGATTTTTCCCTTAGCAGTATCTGTAGGGCCGGCTCTGGCGCCCCCTGGAGTCCTGCGCCCATGCGCCGGTATATGGGGCGCCACCAGTCCCTTCTTGCTAACAACTCCGGCAGCGGGGCAGGAGGGCAGGTCGTGGGATGGGCATGAGCAATGCATCCTGAAGAACAGCAGCTACGAGAGGGAGGTACTGTTTTTCCTTCTTTGAGTGCTTGCTTGTGTCGATTCCAAGTTAGGTGACTCCCTGGACGTGGTTCATGGACGTGCTGCTTGCAACACTGCTCTGCCAAGCTGGCCTCGTCGTGGGCCTGCTGGCTGATGGCATATGGACCGAGGACCAGGTGGCGGCTCTGCAGATAGCCCGGATACCTGTGCGAGGAAGGCCGCTGACAAAGCGTGCGCTCTGGTGGAATGGGCAGGCAGGATGGCCGGCAGTGACACCTCTGCTTGCTCATAGCAGAGCCTCATGCAGGCGGTTATCCACAAGGAGCTTCTCTGAGCGGACACAGGCAAACCTTTCATCCTGTCCGCCCTGCGACGAGGAGCTGCGCTGATTTACGGAAGGGTTTGGTCCCCTCAATGCAGAAGGCTAAGGCCTGCCTAGCATCCATAGAGTGTAACCGATGCTCCTTGTTCGCCTTGTGAGGCTTCAGGAAGAAACCCGGTAGGAAGAGGTCCTGATTATTGCGAACTGTGACACCACCTTAGGTAAGAAGGCTGGGTGGGGGCTCAGCTGGACCTCATCCTTGTAAAACACCACGTAAGGGAGTGCTGACGTCAACGCTCTAATCTCGGAGACCCTGTGGGCCGACGTGATCACCGCCAGGAAGGAGACCTCCCATAAGAGGAGCAGCAGAGAACACGAAGTCAGCAGCTCGAAAGGGGGACCTGTGAGCCTCGCTAGCACCAGGTTTAGGTCCCAAGGAGGGATGGGATCCCAAACCTGTGGATATAGCTTCTCCAGACCCTTCAGGAACCTGATCGTCACGTCATGAACAAAGATTGACCTGCCTTGGAGGAGCGGGTGAAAGGCTGAGATGGGCGACAAGTGAACCCTGATTGCCAGGCCCTGGTGCTTGAGGGGGAGCAGGTAGTCCAAGATGGATTGTAGCAATGACCGGGAGGGAGAAAGACCTCGATCCGCGGCCCTTAATAGATGAAGCGTTTCCACTTGACCAGGTAGGTCGCCCTGATGGAGGGCTTCCTTCTACTCAACAGGATGTGTTAGACTTGCTCCGAGCAGGCCTGTTCCTCCACGTTCAGCCATGCAAAGCCATGCCATAAGATGCAGCGACGCTAGGTTCGGATGGAGCAGACAGCCTTGGTGCTGTGAGAGCAAGTCTGGGCGAAGCGGGACCGCTAGTGAGGTTGCCATCGAGAGATCCAAAAACCTGCTGAACCACGCCGGAGCTACCAGGATGCCCTTCGCTTTGTCTCTAGGACCTTGTGAACTGGGGGTATCAGTGGGAAGGCGTACAAAGGGCCCCATCCAAGGGCACAGGAAAGCCGGGAAGGCGTACAGCGGCCCCCATCCAAGGGCGCAGGAAAGCCGGGA